TTTCCTTTTTTTTCTCCTTTCTTGCCTGCTTTTGGGTTGAATTTTTTTTAATGTTTTCTTTTGCTTTTCCTCTTATTCCATTTTCTCCTTTCTGCTAATTTTCATGTTGTACTATCTAGGTCTACTGTTCTAATGGATACTATAGCTATTTTAATAAGCACCCTTAAAAGGAGTAAATTTATCAGTATCACAATCAGTATAAAGACTTCAGAATAGTTTGACCTCAACTGTTCATCCATTGAATTATATTGTTATTCCCAGTAATTTTAATTGTTCTCTATTTATTTAAACTTCAAAAATTATACTTCATTTTTATACACTCAGTGTTTGTTTAATTGAACTACATGTTTACTGATATATTTGCTCTTTACATTACAGACCTGTTATCTGAGGTATATCCATTAGAAGTTCCTTTAATAAGGGTCTATCAGTGGAACCCTCTCATTTTTTCTTTGCCTGAAAATGCATGTATTTTGCCCATGTTCTTGAACAAAAATGGTTTGGTGGAAGAGAGAATTCTAGGATAACAGGTGTTTTCTGTGAGTCTATTGAAAATATTATCCCACTGTGTCCTGCCTTCCATTTTTGCTGTTGAGTAGTCAGCCTTTGGTCTGATATTTTTTTGCCGTGTTTTTTTTTTCTTTTTTTTTTTTGTAGAAATCTATCTTTGCTCTGAAGCTAATTTTAAGAGTTTTTTTTTGGTCTTTGTTAGTAATCGGCAGTTGCATATTGAAGTGCCTATGTGAGAGTTTCTTTGTATTAATTCCACCGGGAATTTGTTAGGCTTTGCACTTGGTGTCTTTCAGCAATTCAAGAAAATCCTCAGCCAGCATCTCCTCCAAGATGGCATCTTGCCCATTCTCTCTGTGTTCTGCAGCTCTTATTACACTTACGTGAGATGTTTTTTTCTGTCCTCCATGCCTTTTTTTTTTTTTAAAGATTTTTATTGGGGAATTGGGTGAGGGGAACAGCGCTGGGGAATCGGGGGAAGGGGAACAGAAAAGTTGCTGTTGTTTTGTTCTTCAGTCTAGCTGTGGAGGACGTTGCTTTACTGGCCCAAGTTGGCACCATCATTGCGCTCTTCCCGGGCAAGGCAGATCAGTCGCTGGCTTCTGGACGGCCACTCACGGTGGCTGCTGGCCGCTCACGCTGGCTGCTGGCTACACACAGTAGCCCATGGCAACCCACTGCCACAGGGGCTGCAGCCTACGCCGTCGCCAGCGACTCAAGGCAGCCCAGCTCCAGGTTGAGCTGTTGTTCAGCATCTTAGCTGTAGAGGGCAGTGTCACTGGCCCTCATATGTGGGATCCGAACCGGGGCCCTCTGGTGTCCCAAGCCAGCTGTTAACCAACGTGCCACTCGGCCGGCCCCCTCCATGCCTTTTTAACAGTTTTTATATTTTACAATTTTTTTGTCTTACTGCACTGTGGTTTGGATAACTTCTCCACTTTTATCATACTGCAGCCTAATTCTCTCTTTCAGCTTTTTCTAAATCTCCTGTTTAATCCATTCAACAAGATTTAATTTTTAATTATACTTTCCATTTTTAGATATTCTATTTGGTAATTTTATAATTTTGCTTGATCATATTATACCCTCTTGCTCTTTGCTCAAATTTTATGGCTCCTGTTTTATTTATTCATTTTTTTAAGTTCTAAAATACATTAATTAGAGGATATTCTGAAGACAACTTTTGATTTGTCAGCTTAAATATAGTTTGTTTCTTCATGCCACAGATTAAAGGCAACATAAAGGCCTACAGAAAATTATTAGCTTCTTTCTCCCAGAATTTCCCATTATCATAGCACAGTACGATCAAAGTTTTTCCTAATCTTTTCTACACAAAGTAATGCCACCACAGGCCCTAATTTTCATGTTATTCACCTCAATAAATTTTGTCACTTCTCAGAATCCATCATTTAATAAAAAGGTCCATGTACCATCACAGATTCTGGGCATATTTGAAGAGCCTCTGAAATTGCCCCCATTCCTGACTCTGAAACAACGCTGAATTTATACTTGAAAATAAAGCTGGGTCAGGGGGAGGGGCTGTGACCTACTGAGACTGTAAGAGCTTATCTAGGCTTCTGGAGGGTGATTCCTAAAGAAAGCATTTCTGTCTAAGCTGATAGATCATGCTTAAAAATATGAAGTTATTTTTCTTAGTCTTGAATTGATGTCCAAGAAATTGCAGGGAAGGCACTTTCTCCTGCTATGTGAGTCAGGAATAATGAAGTAAGGTGCTTAAACAAGAACTCTTCTTGTGTCCTTTAAATATATTAAATATTGCTAATTTATATTCTGCATCTGAGTTCCAATACCTGAAATCGTCACTGGTTTAATTTTATTTCTGCTGGCCCCTACTCCTGGTGACTTCCTTCCTTTTGTATTTTATGACTTTTGATTGTAAAAATATTGTTCCATGGAATTTTATCTATGGGAATCCTTTGAGGATTGGATTCTGCTTGCATTTCTCTGGAAAGGATTTGTATTTGTTTCTGCAAGTCATCAAGGGACTCTTGCAATCCCAGCCCACTTGTACTTCAACTCGCCCAGTGGTCCATCTAGTGCCCAGGTTCAGGCAGGCACATTTCCATACTGTCCCTTTCTGTGAGGTATATTTATTTCTTGTGCACTCTTACTGTATTGCAACTTCATGTGCAGCTTCCTATTAACCTCTTCACCTGTGGGGTCCTAGGCTAAATCACCTGTTCCCTACATGCCATAAAGCTATCAAAAGAAATTCAAGGTCTTCAGGATTCAGTAGAAACTATCACATGAAAAGCAGCTTTGAACCTTACTTAGTTCTTGCTTTAACTACATTTTCAGCCTCTGGAGATTCCTTAATTTCATGCCACCTTAGTGATGCATTTTTAAGTGATTTTGAAATATTTGCTTAAGCATTTTAGTTGTTTTAGCAGAAGGGTTATTCATATTACTGTATACACCAGACAGATAGAAACGGAAGTCCATGAGTCTCCAACTTACGCTGCAGTCACCAGTGATTTTCATATGGCCAAATCCCGTGGCAATTATCAGCCTTCATCTTACTTGTACTTCTCAGCAGGATTTGGCACAACTGATCACTCCTTTTTCCCCAGTTTCTTTCTCTGGCTTTCAGGATACCTTACCTTTCATGTTTTCCTTGTATCTCATTGGCTATGCCCAACAATTTAAATCCATCTGTGTGCTGATAAGTACCAAATTTATATTTTCAGAGTCATCTCTCAGGAACTTTAGACTTAATTCTTCAACTGCCTATAAATATCTCCATTAGATGCCTAGTGTCTGTGAGGCATCTTACGCCTAACATATTTAAACTTATTCCTCTTCCTCCAAGAAAAGCTAGTCTTTTCCAGTTCTTTCCCATATCTTTAGATGGTATCATCATTTACCCATTGCCGGGAGTCAACTATTGATTTTTCTCATTCACTCATACATACCTCTCCCCCAATACATCAGTGGGTCCTACTGGCAATACATGCAGAATTATCTTGAATCTGACCACTCTTGACATCCACTATCCAGGTCAAAGACAACATCTTCTGTCACCTGGACACCACTTATAGTCCCTAACTGGCCTCTATTCTTGATGCCCCATCGTCAGTGCCCTCCCCCCAATGATCATCACTGCCACCTCCAGCTAAAACCTGTTCTCCTCCAGTTACAGACCTTTTGGAAAATATAAAGCAAGTCATGTCATTCTCCTACTCAGAATCCTTATGCTTAGAATAAAACCTGGACTTCTTATCATGGCCAATAAGGCCCTACAGTATCTGGCCCCTGTTAATTCTCTGACCTCATATCCCTCCATGCTTCCTCCTTTCCACTTATGCTTCTGCCACCCTAACTTTTTCCCTTTTCCTCAAACAAATCAAACTTAATCCAGTCTCATGCTGCTTCTACCTGGCAAGCTCTTGACCCATTTCTTTCTGTGGCTCACTCCTTCACATTATTTACATTTCTGCTCTAGTATTCCCTCAGGAAAAAGGCCTCACTGAGGGCTTCATAGAAAATAGTCCTCTTGTTAGTCTCTATCTCTTTATCTCCTAGCACTCATCACTATATGAAACTGTACAATTGATTTTAACGATGTTTCCTATTTACTTTTTTTTTTTTTAGCTGAGCCATCCTGCCACCTGTTGGCAGCTCAGCGGCAGCTCAGCCCGGACTCGAACCGCTGTTGCTCAGAGCTCAAACCCTTGAGCCAGCTCTTAACCCACTGAGCCACTCGGCCGGCCCCCCATTTACTTTTTCCCCTAGAATGTAAGCTTCGTAAGGGCAGAACCTTTGTTGATCTTATTTATGATTCTAGCTTCAGAACCTGGAAGCTTGCCAGGAGCTCCGAATAGATGCTCAATAAACATTTTTGAGTTAAAGAATAAATCTCATTTAATTCTTATAATATCCAGTGAAACAGAAATTACCTTTCCAGTCTTATAGGTGAGGAAACTGAGGCTCAGTGATGCTAAATGACTTGGCCATGGTTATACATCTCCTAAGTGTCAAGATCAAACCTAAGTGTGTAAGATTCTAGAGACCACAGCATTTTTTTTTATTTTCAGTTTTTTTAACTTTTCGCATTGAAATGATTTCAAACTTTTGAAAAAAGTTGCAGAAATAATACTGATAGTTCTCTTTTGCCTTTATTCAGCTTTCCCAATTGATAATATTTTGTGTAACCATAATACTATTATCCAAACCAGGAAGCTAATACTGATATAGAACTACACACCTGATTCACATGTCAGCATTTGTCCTCCTAACGTGTCATGTCTCCTGAGTCTCCTCTAGCATGAAGGTCTCAGTCTTTGTCTTTCATGACTTTGACACTTCTGAAGAGGCCTATATTCTTATCACAGGATAGTCTTTGCAGTGTGCTGGGCCTATGGAAAGTTTTCCATAATAATAGCCATTATTATTGGAGAAATAAATAAACTTTCCCTTTGAGGAGTAGAAGGAAAATGGCTCTTGATGTTCTCTTTGTTTGTTTTGCTTAGCTTGGCTGACCTTGAAGTGTTTATAAAAAATTGTGAAAGCAGCTTGCTCAAGAAAGTCGAAAAAGGAGATTTCAAAGGATTGGTTGAGGTAATGGAACACCTCATGGCTCTTAAGGAACGGCAGAGCAGCACCGATGAGATGTTTGAGCCCTTAAAGCAAACTATTGAATTGCTGAAGACCTATGAACAACAATTGCCAGAAACAGTGTTTAAGCAGCTAGAGGTCAGTGCAAAGTTTATGTTTTCTTAATAAAGACATAGAGGGACAGTTTCAGGATTGCAGAGTGAGGTGAGGTGGCTTGAAGTAAATGAAAAGGATTGGTGATGATCCAATGTCCAAGTTTTGGGTCTGTATGTGTAATGTCTAGCACACGCTTGAAACTCAATAAATATGAAACAATATAATACTGGAGATACACGGGAGAATTGACGGGGATGAAGTGTTTTGGTTTTCTTTTCCAGAATTAGGGATGAACCAACTTTTGCATTCAGAAGAAAAAATCGGATCTGAGAAATGTTAAGATGCTCTAAGAGGAAATGTGGGACATAAAATAACCAAGCACTTTTGAAAATATGGAAAAGGGCACAGATGACTGGTTAGACGTTAGGTTAAGAAGAATGGTGTTGTGTCTGAAGTAGGTAATAACCAGGAGAGCAGGCAACTAGGGAGCTAAATCAAGAAGGGGGATTGAAAACAGCCCGGTGATACCAGTACATTGTCACATGGCATTGTTGCAGAGATGAAGTCATCTGGGTACTGTCCGACTTCAGGACTGTGGGGGACAGGGAGCACAGTATGGGTCTGACCACACTGGGGTCTCATTTGCAGGAGCTGCCTGAAAAATGGAACAATATAAAAAAGTTGGCCATCACTGTGAGGCAGCACGTGGCCCCGCTGCAGGCGAACGAAGTGACTCTTCTCCGCCAGAGGTGTGCAGCGTTTGAGCTTGAACAGCAGCAGTTCTGGGAGCGATTCCGCAAAAAAGCTCCCTTCAGGTATGGCCCCAAGTTGCCGCTGCTGCCTCCTTTCCTTTTTGAGTCACTGATGATCTTTCCATTGAATTTATGTATTCTTTTAGCAGATGGTAACTAGCTAACAGTCTTCTCTCCGTTTATGTCCATGGGTTAGAACATGGTGCTGATGTGGGCAGAGAGTCCTACCATGGTCCATGTGAGATGACCAAAGGCTGTACAACTACTTTGCCTTAAAAAAAAAGTATAGAATTTTCTGTGTCTCCAGGTCAATGAAGGGATTTAATGTGATGAAATTACTAGAGGGTGTTTTTAAAAAATAAATTTGACATGTAACATTTGGTAAATTTAAAGTGTACAGTGTGTTACTTTAATACATTTATTATTAATACAATACAATTGCCGATGTAGTGATATTTATCACATTACATAATTAAAGTATAATATTATTGTCCATATTCATTATACTGTGCATTAGCCTCTATAGCTTATTTACTACTCGTTGTAAGTCTCCACCCTTAAACACCATCACTCCTACCCCCACCCCCTGGAAACCACCATTTTACTCTTTGTTTTTTGTAGGTTTAACTTTTTTAGATTCCACGTATAAGTGATATCATACACTGCTTGTATTTGTCTGACTTATCTCACTTAGTATAATATGCTAAAGGTCCATCCATGTTGCTGCAAATGGAAGGATATCCCCCATTCTCATGGCTGAATAATATTCTGCGTATATGTACCACATCTTTATATCCATTCATCCGTTGATGGACATTTGGGTTGTTTCCACATCTTAACTACGAGTATTGTGAATAATGCTGTGATAAACATGGGAGCACATATATCTCACTGAAATCCTGTTTTCATACCCAAAAAGTGGAATTGCTGGGTTGTATGGTAGATCTATTTTTAATTTTTTTGAAGAAACACCGTATTGTTTTCCATAGTGGTTGGACCTAATCTTACTAGGTTTTTACTGAACTGTTAGTAGTGTAAGTTCTCACAGACTCCTTTGGTTTTAAATTTTAAAAAGCTGATAAAATTTTAAATAATGTTGGAAGGCATTTTGGTGATCTAAAGGAAGGATTGAGGTGAAGGGTTACTTCGGGGTGTGTTTTCTCTACTTTGTAATGCTCAGGCACCTCTCTACTTGTGACTTAGGGTCTTTACGTAAACAAGTACAGGGTAGGCAACCCCATTCACATGTGCCCACATGCACACCCACATGGGTTCCTTTCTCAGGGGCTTCCTCCCTTGGTGGAGATGGCTACCTGGGGTCTGCTCCTAGTCCACTGCCAACACTGGGTGCTCCAGCCAGTGGAACACTGGTTCTGAATGGTCCTGTGTCTGCTGAAGTGCCAGGCGAAATGGTTACTCTCCCCTCACTCCAGCTCCAGGATTTGCTTTCTGTCTCCCTCACTGAGCTTCTTGCTGGCTCTCCTCTGTAGTTTTATATACTGTAGTTAAGCTTGAAAGTCTCCAAACGTGAATATGCCCTATGTAAAGATGGAGGAACTTTTTCATTTTCAAGAGTTACTTACTCACAGAAATATAATATTGAGGACTCTGGATTCAGTCTGTTAGTATCTAGTTTCAGTCTACAACTTACTGCGTATGTCAGGGAAGCTACTCAATATCTCTGTGCTTCAGTTCCCTCATCTGTTAAATGGGGTTAAATAATATTCCCCTCATAAGGTTGTTGATAGGATGAAAGAAATGCTCTTTACAAGTGTTTAGCATAGCACCTGGCACTAGAATGACCAACCATCTTGGTTTTCCTAGGACTCTTATGGTTTCAGCACTGAAAATCACACATCTGGAGAAGCCCCTTTGTTTCAGGCAAACTGGGACTGTTGGTCACCCAGCCTGGCACACAGGAAGGACCTACTTGTTCTTGTTATTCATGTAGTAGTCAAACATTTATTAAGCAGCTGCTATCTCCCAAACATTATACTCGGGGCTACAGAGAACAGGATGTGTATGTTAAGAGTCAGGGAAGGACAGATGTGTAAACCACGCTTAAGATATATACACAACACAGGACTCTAAAGCAGTGTGCTGCCATGTTGGCTGCAAATTAGAATCACCTGGGGGAGCAATTAAAGCTTCCAATGTGCAGCCTGTCCTAAGGACCAACTGAATCAGACTTACTGGAGTGACTCCTGAGCATCAGTAGTTTGTAAAGCTACCCTAGTGGTTCCACTGTGCAGCCCACTTCGAGACTCCTGCCCTAGGCAAAATAACTGGTTTCCTTTTAAGCAGTCATGCCAGGGCATATGACTTGGAGTGAGTCTCTATCCCTTTAGAATAATTGCCTTTGGAGCTGTGCCCTTGTTCCAAAGAAACATTAGTGTTCAACACATTTGTGGAACTCCTTTTGGGACTTTTTTTTCAGAGTCTGAGGCCCATTCTTTTGACTTCTCCTTTGGCATGGAGTTGAAGTTCTGAAATTCAGCCCAGATTATGCAGAGCCAAAGCTGGTGAGGGAGGTGGGTTACCAAGTGGGGTGGTACTGCTTTGTGTCAACCACAATCACACTGACTGCAGAGCCATAAAAATAATGACACTGATAATGTCTTTGCAGCAACTGTCTCTTTAGAAAATTTCAAAAGTGGAATTCCAAAGATGATTGGTGAAATATCTTCCCAAACAGACTTCTGAGACTGCTTGAAAGGAAACAGCACTCATTCGCTGGTGTGTTTTTGTGTGTCTGTTGAAACCCGGAGC